AAAAAAAAGGAAAAAAAAGGAAAAAAAAGAAAAAAAAAAGAAAAAAAAAGAAAAAAAAGAGAAAAAAAAGTGGTGAGTGCAGGAGGAAAGAGCAGGCATTCACCAGAGTGCCAGCAAAGATGACTTGTACCACCGGTAGCTCGTTTAAGGTCACAGCTGATAAAGAAATCTATTATGGGGATCTCCTGACTTCTTCTCTAAAGGACATACAGTATTTTTATTAATTTTTTTGGAAGGTAGTGTTTAGATTCTTTCCATAGCCACATGCAGAAGAGCACTTTCACCATTAAATGGCTCTTTATGTAAATGCTGATCACAAGAAAACTTCCTGGAAAGCAGATGCTGCTGTGATGGCTTTGCCAAATACTACGAGGCAGGTTTGGGTGCTAGAAGCTCTTCCCCCAGCAGAGCTGCTGCTGCTCCCAGCTCTGCCACTGACCTGCTATGGGACCATGCCATCTTTTACTTCCTTGCCTCGGTTTCCTTCTCTGTTAAATCAAGAGAAACGGTATTCAGCTTCATAACTTCGTTGGGATGTCTAGGCGGAAATCACAGAACAGAGACAAAGCATTTTGTGTAGATATATCATATACAATCAGCAAGTTCTCCCTGGTGTTTCTGAGATGCTGGGATAATAAAACTCCTTCGCCTAGCTCTGATTTCTGAATTTCAAATATGGCAAACAGGGCTGAAATTTCATGTATTTTCTTTACCATTCCCATATCATTTTCTTTACAGACTCTCATGTTTGAGTTGCTTCACTGGGAAGAGGGTAAAATTTAAAATAGCTGCAGGTACCTCTTGTCGGTGCTGTAGAAATGGAGAAAATGTGAAGTTACCATGTGACATTTGCACAGGATTAATAATTTCTGAAGCACATTTTCAAGAAAACCAAAACAATAAGAACACCGAAAAACAGAGACACACAGCCTCTCCTAGACCCCATGGAGAAGGGATTTCTGCTCTCTCCGTGCAATTGTTTGGCTAGGGGAAAATTAGCACATGCAGAACTGGGACTTTGTTAAAAGTCACCTTGCTTTCATGGGAGCTGAGCACCTGCTGGCCCTGATGCTCACTTTTTTTGAAAAATAAAGAGAGTGTTTTGACTCTCTCTATTGAGAGAGTCAAAAGACTCCTGGTAGGTTCTTAAATGATAAAATATGTTTCCGTTAAGTTTAACATAGTGATAAGAATTGAGAAGTTGCATCCAGAGGGTGGCATTGGCATCAGCTGGAGGAAAACAGAACAGTGCCACCACAGCAGTGTGCAACCACAACGGTGTGCAACCAAGCACACAGCAGATAGGACGGAAACAGCCTAAATTAGGAAACAGCTTAAATTCTTCCATTTCTGTTTGCCTCAGATTTCCTACGGCTGGGTGTGGGTGGTTACCCATCAACAACATTACTTCAAACCCACTGAGTTACTCTTCAGAAACATCCAAGGACACTTATCTCTCTGTACCTGACTTAGCATGGAGACCTCAGTGGGATTTAGGCATGTGAACATGTCCCATCAGGCCCACTCCAACAAGCGATGAACATTCTCAGCTCCTAAATTGGGAGCTCCTAATTTAAGCTTTAAGAAAAGCAAGTATCCCCACACCTTGCAAGTGTGAGCCTTACATAACGTGGATCTGAACACACATTTCCACCTACAGAAAGGAATGCAGGTTTGCAAGGGATTTGGTAAGAAATATGCAACGGCAAAAATTCAGATTTCCCTCGTGATCTCGAAATACCTTTTAGATTTATTCCCTCTGCATCCATCAGCACAATATTACGTTTCATCAAAATGCAATAAAAGTTACTGAAGAACAGGCCTCGAAGATACAGATTTCCTTCCAGATACTCACTTGCTTGTGAGATGAGTCTTGGGAGTAATCCCAAGCTCTCCAAAGAGAGTAACAAAGACGTTGGCGTCGGTTCCTGCTCCCCGGACATCTCCTGTCACTGTCACCACCTCATAAACTGTGGAAGGAGAAAAGAAAGATCAGGACAACGGGAGAAACCCCTCACCCTATACATTATAGATCCAAGTCATCCCCAAACCTGGGCTGAAATACAGACCCCAGGGACGGATCTCTGCACCCACCACCGAAACAAACCCATCTCTTGGACAGGGCACAGTCACTGCTAAGGATCAACACAATTGGTGAAAATCATCACATCAAACTAAAACTGCTGGAGACACTTTACATGGGCAGAGAGGGCTTGAGTTAGGACGGATTTTGCTGAAAACACTTCTCTTTGAACACATCGCCTCCCCTACCATAAAGCATGTGCATGTATTACATACAACAGATGTATTTATGTGAAGTGTTAGAGTAAAGCTGTTGAGCCATTCTTCATTTATGCACATGTCAATGCAATGCACGATTTCCTGCTTGCTCTGATAATATATCTGTACGAAGCTGAGAATCACTACAGCCAGAAAGTTTGCATTTTGATTGTTCAGGAGACTTTACCAAAGACCAAATGGTAAATCATGTTGAGAATAAGGTAGGAAAACACCTAAAGTAGAGTCTCAAAGCTCTATCAATTTATCTTTCCACGTAATAGATTGAGTGGCGACTTTATTACCACACATCGATATCTTCTTGGGAGAGACACAAGTTAAAAATAGCCTTTTACTCAAGTGGAGAAAGGCATGACAAGATCCAACGGCCCGAAGGTAAAGCTAGATAGATTCAAATTACAGTCAGACACGCATTTCTTAAGCAGGATGATGAGTGAAGTTAGAACAAGACTTAAGGCTTGAAAATAGGTTACCTTTCTGAAGGACATGTCTTGGTTGGCTCAGTACAGCAGGGATTAGAAGAAATTATAGAACTTTGCCTATGGCCGGACCAAGCACCCTGATGGCTCTTTTTGGCTTTAGATCTCATGGTGGTCATTAGCTAATAACGATATTTCAGGCTCAGACCTATAAGCCGGAGGAAAGACTAAACTTTCATCATTTCGTCTTGCACAGCCTGACTGCTTAGTATGTGATTTTTCAGAACTAACGCTGTAAAACTGTCCTCCATCATGGGTGCTTCAGAACTGTTATGTATTTTGTTAGTGCCCATCTTTTCCTCGCTACATCACGTATATATTCAAAAGAGACAAAAACCGTATTGGGGCTCCATTCTGAGCATCAAATGTTTTTCCCCACTAACACAATGTTTTTCCCCACTAACACTTTTCCCTCAAAGCATCACTGAGAAGAAAATAAATCACCATTTTAACTGAAAAGCATGGAGACAGAGTGCTGGAGCAAAACCCAGGCCACTCATGTAAAACTGATTAGAAACTACTCCTCATTTCCAACAGCTCTATTGCACTGAGACAGAAAATAATACCGTAATATTTTCCTAATCTCACCTTTCCATGAATGTAACTAGGTCAGAAAGGAGACATTATTATAATAAATACAGTAAGTTATGATCTGTGCTCAGCTAAATTTTAAGAATCCCTTGGCTTGGCATATTTCATTTATGGGCTCAAAGGAAGAGGTTTCTTTGCAAAAAAAGAATATGAAATCCACAGCTTGCACATGAGTAATATGTATGAACAGTGTTTTCATTTCACCTCCCTCCTGTTAGCGTTCGCACATGCCATCGGGAGATGTTTGGCATAGCACGGAGGACAGACGACGTCCTCGCATTAGCCATTAACAGGAGGAAGACTCGCAATCCACCCTGCCCCAGTGATTCACCACTGATTGTTGCATGGTTTTCAGCACCGTATCGACTCTGCTTCGGAAACAGGGAGCTTATGTCATTGAGTTATAATATTGCTGCACTCGTTTACAGCAGCCTTTTATGTCTGGCCATCGCAAAGCATATTGCAACTTAACTGTACCATGGAAGTACTTATCACTGTCAGAGCATCCTATAGGCATCACCGAAGTGGCAGTTACAGCTGAGCATCCCTCTGCAAGGTTTCATTCGGGAAAAGGGTCTTTAGCGCATTGTCCCCCCCCTGCCCACAGAGGCTCAGCAAAATTTGGCCCTGTTCCTGTTTTCATGGGGTGAGGTCAAGTTGTACCCAGCTTCATGCCAGCAGGCACATGGCTGAAGGTATTTTTCCTGTGAAAAGGGAGGAAAAAAAGCATCACCACACTCCGTATCTTCCCAGAGACCTTTCAAAAGCTCAGGCAGGTTTTCTAGTGAGGTTTTTTTTTTACTGCTAGAGAAGTGCTAGGACTTATAAGTTATATGTGGCAGGCAGAGTCTGTCATGTTACATCTGCCCATGTCACATCAAGTGAAACCCATTCCTGAACCGGTCTGCTGCACCTTTACGGGTATTGACGCCACCTAATCTATACATCTAAGTTTAATTTCCTTACAGAAAACCTAAGTCAGACTGATCTACTTCCACTTTTCAACTCCTAACAAATGAGATGATGGGATACAAGGAAATTATGTGTCTAAGACACCACCATCAACAAGTCACAATATTCCCCCCCTTAAAAATCAAAACCCCTCTCTAATTCCCACAATGGGAGTCTCACAGTTGCAAGAAAGCACAAGCCACGAGTACATACAAATTTGCCCTTTAGGTTCACAACCCCAAATTCAGCCTCCACGCATCGCAGCGAGCAGGCAGCACATGGATGAGCAGTTTTTACTGGGATAGATGTGCTGAGCCCTGTCCGAGTAGCACGTGTCATTACTGAGCATACGCTGTGGCTAGCACCATTTTAATTAACTTTGCACAGAGGGACAAAAGGGGGGGGCTGGGTAGGTGACACCAGCACGTCACCGCATTTGACACGTGCCACGGTGCACCCCTGGAAGGGGAAAGGAGCCCTGCTGCCCCTTCTCCAGCACTACAGCTGTGCGGCCAGCTGTGGAAGTAAATGATCATAGAATCATAGAATCATTAAGGTTGGAAGAGACCTCCAAGATCATCGAGTCCAACCATCAACCCAACAACACCATGCCCACTAAACCATGTCCCTAAGCACCTCATCGACACGTCTTTTAAATACCTCCAGGGATGGGGACTCAACCACTTCCCTGGGCAGCCTGTTCCAATGTTTAACCACTCTTTCAGTAAAGAAATTTCTCCTCACATCCAATATAAACCTCCCCTGGCACAACTTGAGGCCATTTCCTCTTGTCCTATCGCTTGTTACTTGGGAAAAGAGACCGACCCCCACCTCGCTACAACCTCCTGTCAGGGAGTTGTAGAGAGAGATGAGGGCTCCCCGCAGCCTCCTCTTCTCCAGGCTAAACAACCCCAGCTCCCTCAGCCACTCCTCAGAAGACTTGTTCTCCAGACCCCTCACCAGCCTCATTGCCCTTCCCTGGACACGCTCCAGCACCTCAATGTCCTTCTTGTAGTGAGGGGCCCAAAACAGAACACAGTATTCGAGGTGCAGCCTCACCAGTGCCGAGTACAGGGGCACGATCATGATGTCGCAGCTTTCCAGTGATGTCATGGACGCAGGGCCCATGACTTCCTTTGCAGGAAGAAAATAAAAGTTTAATACTAATATTGATGCTAGCTCTTTCTGGAAAAGGCACCTGGAGACAAACACAGCTTATTTAGCCACTTCCTTCAAAGGCATGGATGTTCAGCAGTCTGGATCCAGGATTGTTTCCTTTCTTTGCATTTCTTTTACTTTTGATCAACCACTGACAGCTGATGGGTGTCATCTTTGCTGGGAGCATCTCTGCAGCTTGAGGACCCAGCAGGCAGAAAAGGATACTGTGCTGTGGGGGCAGCATTTTGTACCCCAGACCCCTTCGCTGGGAACAGCGTCCATGACATAAGACGACAAGAACTGTAGACTAACGACATGTCTTAACCACCTCAGGAGTTTGCTCCCGAATAATTGGATATTCTGGCTTTGAGAGAACATATCCAACCTTAGCAAATCCCAAGCACAAGCGTCTTGTACTTTATGACTTGGGACAATAAAGCCGAATTAGCTGAAAAGCTTGAAATTGAAATTCTGTGGAAGTCACACTTCTAACCAAGGGTGGAATCTGGGCTAGAAAGATCAATTTTGCTGCCTCAGTGCTTCATTTGTGAAGGGGAAGATTAAGAAAATACAGAAGTTAAATATCTCAAGTATCATACCTGTTTCATCATACAAGCTAGGTCTTCCCTTCCCATCAAGTTCCTTTCTTTCTTTTTGGATGTTCTCATGGGATTTCCAATCTTCTCCTCATTTTGGGTCCCCATTTTTCAAACCCCTCTCCACCACTCAAGAGGTCTGAATTGCCTACTGAGGATCCACCTCCATCACTGCTGTAAATATTCTCAGGATCATGGGTGTTAATGCTCACCAAAGATTTACCTCAACGGTGCAAAGATGCCAGCCCTTAAAACCCCTCCACTGGCAGAAAATATCTACCCAAATTCTCTAGAATCTCCCAATTCGTTTTTAACAGGGTCAGTGAGTAAGTAAGTTTGGCCACCTGTTTATTCGCTTTTCTTCCACCTTCATCAGTTTCACGTGGAATATATGCTTATTATCAGGGAAAGTTAAAAAAAGAAATAATCCATCCAGTTTATACTGTCAAATGGAAGGGTGAGGAAAAAAAACAACAACCAAACCCCAACAACCAACCCACAACAAAACTGCAATATTTCTTTGCAAAGTAATGAAATACAAAGGTTGTTATTTTCCCATCCTTTGACACTGATGCACATAGTTCAAGATTTCTTTCAGGGCTGTTGCTCGCTCCAACAGCTAAAGAAATATTATAGCAAAATTTTTCAAGATAAAATGAGGTTTTGGTATATCACTCCAGATTTGGCTGTATCTTACTATTTAGACTCCTCCTCAATGGAAGCAATCACTGAATGCAAATAAAGAGAGCATCCACAGGAATTTTATGGTTACCCTTGAAGTTTCTAAGTGCATCCACAGTGTCTCCCTCTTCCCTTACTAATTTATGGGTTCTCAGTATGTAGCGGCTTTGCTGTTAGCTGTCTGACATCGTTGAGAGTTGTCATGGGGAACCTTTA